ATATATATATATATATATATATATATATATATTTATAAAACACCCTAACTCTTAAATGTGTGTGTGTCTGTGTGTGTGTGTGTGTGTGTGTGTGTGTGTGTGTGTGTGTATATATATATATATATATATATATATATATATATATAATATATGTGTGTGTGGTTTTGAAATTGAAGACGTCTTAAGTCTTTTAAAGGAGTCTACGAGTGCTCTCATGGTATTAATATATTATTACGAGCTGTTATTGTTGCATGTCACACCACAGGAATTGTTTTACGGTTTTAGTTTAGCTTTAAAAAACAATAAAAAAGTTGCTAAAGTGAGCGGCTTCTTGTATTTTGTATGGCAGCTCTGCACAGGAAGTTTGGCCACAGGAGAAATGGTCGTGCTCAACTGAGCCTGGTTTCTCTAAAGTTTTATTTTTTCCTTCTCTTTCGTCAACTGGGGAAGTTTGTTCCTTGTCACTGTCGCCACTAACTTACTTGGTTTAGGACACGTAGAGCAGCACATCGTTGTATTTGCTCTTTACAGCTCTTTGGACTTTCAACAGTAAAAAAATGAAACCACACTAAACTGAACTAATCTACATTGTAAAGGTGTTTTAGACACAAAGATAATTTGAATTTTCTCCAACATTAGTCTTCAAACTTTTTTTTTTATCCTAAAAGTTGTTTTACAATTATTATTATTATTTTTTATTTATTTATTTTTACAATTTTACTGTCTATTTGTTAAATACCCAGTAGTAGTTCCCTTGAGAAATTTAATGTCTGTAAAAGGGAAAGTGGGAACATCTCTGCTGTGTTTTTGTTCTGATGTTGTTGTAAACTAGAGGTGGATTCACCTTCACGAAAAACCACAAATGCAGCATTTCAGCGGTTCATTTTTAGCTGCACGCTCATGAATCTTCCTCTTCTCGCTATCATGTTGCCGACAAGAAACACGCGCTGAGCAAAAATACAGCATCCTATAGATAGACCACAGAAGCATCCTATCACATCCTGCTGGAGCTGCATGTGATGTGGTTTTTCGAAGCATGTGACACACGCCAAGCGCATCTGTAGGGCATCGCTTTTATTGTTACCATTTCACATCCGTGTGCCAAAACATCACGGTGAAAAGCTGTCATGCTTCACCACTGTATATATGATGTGTTTCCTCGCTGGATGTGTTTACAGTTTCCGCATAACAAAATTTTGCCACAAAAGTTTACATCCATCCAAGGTCAAAATAAACGATATATATATATATATATATATATATATATATATATATATATATATATATATATACACACACACACACACACACACACACACACACACACACACACACACACACACACACATACATATATATTCCCATAATGAACATCGCAGCTTTTCTCAACACAGGGTTTCCCACTCTTTCATGAAGACCAAATTCAAGGACGTTTTAAATCACTGGTAATTTTAAATGGAGCACCTTAATTCATGCCCCCAGCATACAACAGGGAAAATCAGTATTGAACATGTCATGTTTTTTTTTTCCTGGGAATATTTTTAAAGAAGCTGTTGACATGGAATTAAACCAGATTTTAGTATAAACCCAGACAATACAAACATAAAAAAAATATTTAAAAAAAACTGAAAAATTAGTTTTGTGAATTAAAATGAAATGAAACAAGGAGAAAGTACTAAACTGAAACAGATTCAATACTTTATATAAAAGGCTTTTTTGGTGACGGCAGCTTAGAGACGCCTTTCAAATGGACAATGAAGTCACATGAATAGCTCAGGTGTGAGTTTTTCCACAGACTTCTTGATGGTTCAGTGGGTTTTGTTTATCAAATCTGATCTTTATTTTGTATTCTCTATTGGATTCAAGTCAGGTGATTGGCTGGGCCATTCTAAAGCTTGATGTTCTCTCTAAAAGCATTTGAGAGTTTTCTTTGGATCATTGTCTTGCTGAAATGTCCACTCTAGTTTGATCTTCATCATCCTGTTAATGTAGATGTTGGACTGAAGCAACTATTATTCATTTACAATGATGAAGGGCAGAGGGTTGCTAAAGAACTACTGACAGTGCGTTCACACCGAAGGCGGTGAGAGCAAAGTTCACACTGATCTGTGTGGCGACAACGCTGTCTGCCTTCACAGCTCCACCAGTGAGAGCATCAAAATTCATTATATTGATATTGTATTTAAAGGGGTCATTGCAGCATATCATCATATACCTTACATTCCCACAAAAAACAAGCTTTCTATAGCAGGAAAATGTTAAGAACTATTTATTAAATTCATTTAACAATGAATATTTATTTGTTGCGTGTGGGGTGGCTTTGCTCCACTAATCCAATATGCGTCCATATGTCTGAAATATTCTAAAGCAGGGCTATTCAATTTGTTTGGCATGGGGGCCGGTTCATGAAAAGCATCCCAAACGAAGGGCGTCCGTATTAGCAAAGAGCTTAGAATGACCAAGAGGCGACACTTAATAGAACATTGCAACAGCAGCGCCCAGCAACAGCCCTGTATTCCGCCATTTTGGATCTCCATTGGATCTCATTATTGTCGCGATGGCAGCTGCTTTGTAATTTATTTATTTAAAAAGCACATTAAAGCTGAGATACAACCTGAAAGACGACAATACAACACTTACTATCACAATCATCAGCACTTTTAATAGTTTACTTAACAGAATTGGAGTTTTCATTCCAAAATAGCCGTCGTGCCCTCTAGTGGCTGTTTCCCAAATTACACCCGTGTCACCTCTTGGTCATTCTAAGCTCTTTGGTATTAGCCTCGGTGTACTTCAAACTTAAAACTAGCGCACAGGCAACTTGGCATTTTGCAGCAGTTTCGTTTCGTTCCCTGCAACAGAAATGCAGCTTAGAGAAGACTTTACGATTAATAAACTGTGACGAATTAAAGCGCAGTTAATATTAAAATCGGCTAATTGTTGCATCCCTATTAACGATATCAGTGCATTGTACAAAAAGCCTTTTCAACAAACATGCTTTCGGCTGCCCGCACCACTCGCTTATGATGACTCGCGCTCTGTGCAGCCTTTAACTGCAGCTCATTTTCACTTGCCACTTCATAACCATAGCAGCTGTTTGTCGACTGAACTAAATTTATTTTTGATGTACTGGTCACACTGTTTGGAGGGCCGGAACAAAGTGCCTCGGGGGCCGCCAATTGAAGAGCCCTGTTCTAAAGCATCAAATTAGTTTTGTGCTGTCGTTTTAGTTAGCAAGGGATTCATGCTTCAAGCAGTGGACTTCTACATTCTGATTGCTTGCCGCCAAACCACAGCTCCCATTGAAAACGAAAGACTTCCGGCTACTTTGATGCTCTCGGTGTGAAAGCTACACCTCCCTTTCTTCATGTGTTCAATACTTTTTCACTGTGTCATTTCATGTTAATACACATAACTGTAATGTAATTAGTTTAGTTTTCTTTGCATGCAGGTGTTTCTTTGGTTGTTATTAACATCTTAGAAGATTTTCAAGTCTACGGCACCTTTAGAAATATTCTGAGAAAAATAGTGACGTGTTTAATACTTATTTTCCCCCACTGTATATACCCCATAAAAGTCCTTCCGGAACTGAACATTTCACTCACACTTTATTTACATTAAAATGTCATTTACATCAAGCTGTCATTTCAAAACTGTTGACCGTTTTAAACAGTCATGCTCAAAGAACTTTATTACATTTAGCGGATTTTTACACTGAATATTCAAATGTGGTTTCTGAAATATTGATAAAATTAAATATTTGTCATTTGACATTCTTATGTAAGATTGAAATTCAAGATTTTTAAATGAAGGATTTCTTCATTTTTTTCATTCCATTTTTGAAACCAGCAAGGTACAATTGCTGAAATAACACCATAAATTTCCAATTTAAGCACTTTCAAGAACATATGTTTGTTTTTATGTACTTTCCAGGCCTTGAATTCATGTATGTTTGAAATCAAGTACTTTCAAGAATCCTGGGTTTTCTGTCTGAAATGATTCATTCAAGCCCTGCCTTTCCGAGAGCCTACTCTTCTGTGATTGGTCTACGGGCTTGTGACAATAACTTTGTTATGACAGAAATAACCATGATGGCATTACATTGTCTACTGGTGATGGGTTGTTTTTAGATGATTTATTCATTTTGAAAAAATCTTTTGTATGACTCGAGAACGATGAGTTTTCTCACATTTGTGCAGGTGGAGTAGAAGATTAGTACCTTTTTTTGAGTCTTCTATCGGGTTTGAGTCGTTTGTTCATCACGTGAAAGATGGAAGCCAATCATATGAATTTAGAGCCGAAAAAAGATGTGATCCGTTCATCTCTCGAGCCCTTGGTCTGAGTCTTTTGTTCATCACGTGAAAGGCAGAAGCCAATCATATGCATTTAGAGCAAGAAAAAGATTTGATCCGTTCATCTCTCGAGTCCTTGGTTTAAGCCGTTCGTTCATCCCATGAAAAACAGAAGCAAATCATATGAAAAAGATTTGATCTGTTCATTTCTCACATCTCTCTTTACATGCCATCACATGATGAACGAATGACTCAAAAACCAGAAGACTCGAAAGGTGAATTTTATTTGGTGTAATTGTAGATGTCATTGGAAGCAACTCGTAACATTTTAATAATATTTTGGCAAATCGAACGAAATGACTCTAAAAAAGATTTGTTCACCTCGCTGCACGAGACTCAAAGGTCTGAGTTAGCAATATAATCCGAACTTCCCATCACTATTGCCTACAAAACAGTGGCTATTTCCCAACACTATTGCCTACAAAACGGTCGCTATTTGTGCAAGAAAGACAAAATGGAATTACTGACGACTCATTTCAGGAAATTCAGAATCAGGATGTTGCTGTTGTTTTTTTTGGGAGACATAAACTCCATTTATCGAGCACTTTGATCTTTGATATTTTGCAAACCTTTTACATTTACAAACAGAGATATTACATACAGGATGAAAGCACAACAGTGGCATTTTAAACGGCACATAAACACACATTCCAAGCTTTTTGGCAGCCTTTTTATTTTTTGTTTAACTTTCTTTTTATCAAACTGTTCTGGTGGAATGATTTCTTTTGTAATGTGGCAGCAAAAAATGTTTAAAAAGAAGAAAAAATAAAGCACTGCGAGTAAAATCAAGTCCTTCACGACGACCAAAAAAAAATAATAATCAGCATATGACTTATAGAACAAATATTCCACAAATCTGTACTTGTGGGCTTTTAGTATAGTTTCTTTGTCTTACTATTTTATTTATTTATTTATACTGAATTAAAGCATTCTGGCTTCCACCCAAGCCACATCTCATTTGAAATGTGTTTATATTCCATGTTTATATTCATCCATTCCGGTTTGGAGGCTCAGACTGACATGTGTGGAAAGATGAGATGCAAAAAAGCAGGAAACGCAAGCGCTTTTAAACAACGTATAAAAAATTATGCAAAAAAACAAACAAAAAAAGGCAAGCTCTGAGGTAAAACAGACTTCTGGCATAAAGGCACTGTGAAATAGAAGAAAGACTTCCTCATGTATTTCACCGGCTACTGGAAATGAAAATAGGATGAGGATATGATCTCTAAGTGCCAATTATTGCTTTTTGGTTTAGGATTTTGCAGAATCAACAGGGCCAAAAAGTCCTGTGAATAATTTTCATTATATTTGTTGTGTTTTTTATACTAATACTGATTATTATCATCATATTTTTAGCAGGAAGTACTTCATCATCAAATCAAAAATCCATAATGGGGGAGAATATGAAGACATATGAGGTCAGAGGAGGCTGAAGATCTTATGAATCAAAAAGAGGTGAGTTGTATAGAGAAGGCCAGCCTCCCCAAAATTAAGAAAACCAAGCAAAGTAAAAGATGTAGAGAGAGAGAAAGAGAGAGCGAGAAGAAAAGAACGCGCTTGCAAACGTAACTTGTGATGTTTGTCAAGTCCACCTCTTTAAGAGTAGATTTGGTCAGATTGAATGAGGATGGTCCCATGGAGGTGTTTGTACTCTTCTTCAGTCTTTTTATCGGTAGAGCTCATTGGTTATGATATCTTGCAGTTTCTCTCGAAGGTCTCTGAAGCTTGGCCGCACCACAGCATCCAGAGTCCAGCACTGCTTCATGATGTCGTACACCACTGGAGGACAGCCGTCGGGGGAGTCCATCTTATAACCCTTCTCTACACGCGGGACCACTTCCTTTAGAGGCTGGAAGAAGAGAAAGAGAGACAATGACTCAGGATAAAACAAAACAAAATGTGCTTAAGGAGACAACGGTGCCCTCTACTGGTAGGAATCTGAAATTATACTGAAGTAAAACATAACATTTGAAAAATTGATGTATTTGTTAATAACTAAAAAATTAATGAGATAAAACTAATGTAACAGAGTTCCCATGCTTTCCTGAACAACAGTTTCAAGGACCTCTGTAATTCATGCCTTAGCATATGTAGTGCCATGAAAGCCCTTAATGTACTTTTAAGTCCCTATGAAATCAAAACTAACCATATGATTTTGTTAGCTCAATTGATTGTTTTGGGATGGACAATTCATCTGTGCATGTCATTATGAGAAAAAAAAATTGTTTGCCCTTCTAATCTTTTATCGAAATCTGAAAATGCACTTGCTGTTTGTTTTATTCTCAGATTACGTATATCTTAGCAACTGGGCGTAGCTAACATATTTAACCACGCTGGTTCAACTCAGATATGAAAACAAACAGAAATGGTGAGGAGGAGGAATCTGTTAGGTTGTAATAACTCTCCCTAAATACTTTTCCACATCTTTCTAAATGAAATGCCTACTTTACTACATCCAATCAGCTCACAGTAGAAAAAAACAAGCCACGCCCACTGTTTTCTCATTTAATATTCAGTTTCTCTAGGAACTGCATCACAATATGGAGAAAAACAAACAAACAAACAAAAACGGTTGCAGCTTCCAGTTCATGTGGGCATTAACAGTTCACTTAATACTTACAAGTCATTTTCAAACACTTTTCAAACATTTTAAAAAGTCATGGTCAAAGAAATTTAATCAGATTTGTTGATTTCAATGCTGGTAATATTCAAATGCGGTTTCAGAAATATTGATCAAATGTGCATTATTTGTCAGTGTTATTGTACAAGGTTTAAATGTAAGATTCTTAGTTAAAGAATTTCTCTTTTTTTTTTTTTTTTTATAGCACAATTTACCATCCATAAACAAATTTCAATTAAAATTTAATCCAAGCACTTTTAAGGACCTGTGTATAAGCAGCTAGCTCTCTGCAACTTTCACATGGTCGCCCACTGAAGCTAAGCAGGACTGAGTACCTGGTCAGTACATGGATGGAAGACCACATGGGAAAACTAGGTTGCTGTTGGTAGTGGTGTTAGTGAGGCCAGCAGGGGGCTCTCAAACTGCGGTCTGTGTGGGTCCTAATGCCCCAGTATATTGATAGGGATTCTATACTGCTTGGTGATCGCCATCTTTTGGATGAGACATTAAACTGAGATCCCCATATCATAATTGGTTTCATCACTCTGTTTCCTCTCTGCCAGGTGGATGCTGCACATTGGTGGTGGATGAGGAGATTCCACCCCGAAAATGTGTAAAGCGTTTGGGTGTCCAGAAAAGTGCTATATAAATGTAAGCAATAATTAATTTTATAAGTATTTTACAGGCCTTGAACCCATACTGTATGTCTGAAACTCAAGAAGGGTCGGAACTCTGAATATAATAAAATTGCCAACACTTGTACCAACTGGTGGACTATTACCTGCCTATTGTTTAAATACTGGCTGTTTATATGTAAAGTACATATTCTGCATGATCTTATTCGACATCAAGAATTCTAGCTATCACCTAAATCCAAATACTCTATCAAACAGCAAATTAGAAGTTTATTGAGGCAAACATCATAGTTATTAGTTTGTTAATAGCAAGAATAATTTATGAGCTAAATATATTATGACTAGGGCTGCACAATATATCGTCTCAGCATTGATACTGCAATGTGCACATCCGCAATAGTCACATTGCAGGATATGCAACGTAAAGTTATGATTATAGCTGACCAGGAGAAACAGTTTAGAACACATGAGCATTGTGAAGTTATTGCAGAGTTTAACCATAATGGAGTGAAATTTTAGAATTTGCACATTTTTAAGTGCTGAAAGATTTCAAAGTATTCAGGCACATATAGTTTTCTTTAATAAATAATACTTTTTAAATTTTTTATACAGTAAAGACTTGCAGTGTTATTTTACATTTGATTATTCAAATTCTGTTCTTGGATACGATGCAAATGCCCTGAAAACCATAAAACACTTATCACACTTCTGCCTTTGCTCTTTTGTATTCATCAATGCTTGTATTTCACATTTTATTACATTTTTATGCGTAAAAAACTTCCCTACAAAATATTCCCAATTAAATTGAATAAATTCTTTCCAAATAGCAATTTTCAAGTCCTCTGGTGAAATTGTAGATACAGTATATCACAATATTTTTTGCACAAAAAGTGAATATCGCAATGTCTGATTTTTCAATATCGTAAAGCCCTAAAAATGACACATTTAATAATCTTTTGTTTAAAGACTGAAAAATTAATTTAAAAAAACGTATTATTATACAAACTATTTTATTTATTTTATGATTTTTAATAAAAGTATAATAATAATAATAACTATAAATTAACTATTAATTAATACATCCTATTTAGAGATTAGTAAAACTATTCAATCACCAGTATCAGCTACAAGTGAACATTCAGGAAAATGTGTTTCGGATTTGAAGGGACTTACAATTCTTGGATATGGTACCCGACCAAAAGAATAGATCTCCCACAGTAAGATCCCATAACTCCATACATCCGACTTAGTGGAAAATTTCTGTTTCAGAAAGACGTGCAGATTAATAAAAGGATATTTTCAACTAGATTCCACCATTAAAACAAACCATTTACAAAGCACACCTTCTCTCGTAAGGCCTCAGGTGAAGTCCACTTAACAGGGAGTTTGGCTGTATCTTGAGTAGACGAGGCTTCCTTGGTGAGGCCGAAATCACTGACTTTAGCTATGTTGTCCTCTGACACAAGAACATTACGAGCGGCAAGGTCCCGGTGCACAAAGTTATTGGCCTCAAGATATTCCATTGCCTTGCACACATCCCTAGGAGAAAATGTAAATAGATAGATAGATAGATAGATAGATAGATAGATAGATAGATAGATAGATAGATAGATAGATAGATAGATAGATAGATAGATAGATAGATAGATAGATAGATAAAGTAAAAAAGAAATAAATTAATAAATTAATTAATTAATAAAAAATATGGTTATTATAGAATATAGTTTTTATAATAACTTTTATAATTTTATAAAAAAAATATATTATATTTTATTATGCTTCAAAGTCTGAAGTTATGCTATTTTGTCATGGCTTAAAAATAATAATAAAGAAACTCACATTGAGAAATTGATCAAACGATCTCCACCGATAACAGTACGACCTCTGGAGCGCAGATAGTCCACAAGACTACCCTGAAAAAGGCATACCAACAACACTTAAGTACACTCTACACTTTTTATATGGCTATTAAACATGCCTCTGGCTATTCTCGATGGTAACAGATGGAAGTCGCTGACCTTGGCCATGTACTCAGTGACGATGTAAAGGCTGCCCTTTTCTTCCACGATCACCCCCAGCAGCTGCACCAGGTTATTATGCCGTAATTGACTGTAAAAGTGCAGCGCATGAATATGAATATTTTGCAATGACTCTAAATATAACTAGGATTCTAATTGGTCAGTTAGATGAACGCACGTCATGACTGAAGCCTCTGCAACGAAGGCCTGTGCTGTGGCATCATGTTTGATACACTTCACCGCTACTTTCTTTCCTCTGTAGTCTCCAACCATCACATCTAAGAACAAATAAACAAAGAGAATAATTAAGTCTGAATGAATTAATGACTCCTTGTGTAGTTCATATTATTATTATAATATTCTGTATGCATTGAATTTTTTTTAAGATAATTGGATCCTGGGCCAAATTTAAGGCCAATCATTCCAGTAGTGGTCACTTGGCATGCTTTGTAGAGCATTTTTTCTATCACATTATAGAAAACATCATTAATTAGGTCAAATCTGAAAATCTTATTGTAACATTTCTAATTTTTGTACATTTGGTGATATAGTCTTTAAAACATTTATTTTATTAGCAATCTAAACATTTGGTTAGCCATTTAAAATTATATTTAAAAAAAAAAAAACTGATGAATATTTTGCTGATAGCCTGTAAAAAAGCCAAAACCAAAAATGGTTGCAACTCTAAATGCCTCAAATTAGTGACTGGTTTGACATAATTTATGAAAACTACAATATGGAGAGGTAATGAATCATTGTTTACAGACTGAGGAGTTTAATGAGACATGGAGAAAATCAGTAGAATGTATTCACCCATTAAGACCAGACTTAACATAGGATGTATAATCAGAAAGATGTGCATTTTTATTATGTTTATTTTGTGTATAATTTTCTTGTAATGAGAGAAAACAAAAGAAAGATAGTGAGAAGAACAATACCTAATGAAAAAATAAAAATAAATAAAAATGTACATTTAATATGCTAAAAATACCATCCTCACAGTTTCATACGTATATAGCTTAGGGGGAAGAGGGGTAGACTGGGTGCCTCAATGTGTGTTAAGAAAAGTACACAATTGAATTGCAATTGAAAAGCAACAAAACTTAAACTGTTTTCTTTTTGACGACATACAAAACAATTATGAGAGTATTGTTTTGATTGTCCTCATGATGTCCTTGAATTATTAATGTACAGGACATTCTGTAACTATTAATGTACAGTACATTCCGTAATTATTAAAAATGTTTATGGTATTTTATAATTTCTTTCAACTTCTGGATTCCGATGATTGATTGTTTTGTGTATATAATGTGGAAACTCCTATTTACCACAGGTGTCAATTCCAGTTTCTGGAGGGCCGGAGCTCTGCACAGTTTAGTTTCAACCCTAACTGAACACACCTGATCAAACTAATTAAGTTCCTTAGGCTTGTTTGAGACCTACAGGTAAGTGTGTTAAAGCAGGGTTGGAACTAAACTGTGTAGAGCTACAGCCCTCCAGGAACTGGAATTGACACCTGTGCGTATATACCATACATATGTATGTAAATTTGGAAACTGCAATAAAAAAATACAAAATGAAAACAAAAAACAAAAGAACGCTTATATTAATATGCAAAATATACACAATATTTTCTTTAGAATATAAGTGATAAAAAGTGACATTCATTTGACAATAATGCATCAAATGTGAGAGATAGCAACATTAGGGTTAGTGATATGATTCATTTTTGGTTAGCAATAGTATATATGGTATGTAAAATAAAAATATTTAGTACAGTGCATTTCTTATGTTAAAAATTGTATACAGTGCTCAGCATATATAAGTACAGCCCTAACAGATCTCTCTTCTAAATGGATTTTTTCTACAGGATGCTTTACAATAATATATTTGTGCATATACATTAGATTAGTTAGTTCCAAAGTCAAAACTACAGCTAATTTAACAAAATAACTTGAGATCATGGTCCAAAAATGTGTACACCCAAATTAAAAAGTTGGAGGGAAATATTAAATACAACTTTAATAAACAGGGGGGAAAAACTCAAGAGAAACATAAAAAAATATATAATTTAGTTGCAATTTTGTAGTTTGCAAATTTATTTTTGCAATTACTCGCATGAATTTAAATGTACTGTATTATTATCATCTTGCAATTGTTAAAGACTTTTATTAAAGATTAATGTTTGGTGACCAAACTATTATTTTAATGGATAAAACTGTTTAACAAAAATGTTATGTTTAAATGAACCAAAGATTATTGGATACATTCACTGAGAAATTAATAAATAAAAATTAATTTTCAAAAGGTGGTATACCGATTTATGCACAACAGTATATGTATATAGTAAAAAAAAAATAATAATAATTTTCTCAAAGCAAACACACGTACCTCCAAACTCTCCCTTTCCAATAGTCTGGATAAGCTTCAGTTCTTTTCTATTCAAAGCCCAGCCACCTGCGGGGAAAGAAAATTGGGTACTAATTTAGCCATGCAGGAATTAAATCCTCTGTTGCTCTTCAGTATTAATAATGTAACTTAATAATAAACAAGATTGAAAATCAGATCAGTAAAACTATTTAAAGAATATACAGGTTTACATTTTTTATATTCAGCATTAACTACAACATAAACCCAAAAAATAGATAATATTTTGAATTTATAGAGAAATAAATGGCACAATTTAGAGGTGGATATTCTTTAGTAGCATGAAACTTTTTTTAAATAAACTATATTTAATTTTTAAAATGTTAAATGGAATGTTCAGATAAAAATTCCCGTCATTTACTCGCACTCAAGTGGTTCCAAATTTTTATGAGGTCTTGCTTCTGAGAACACAAAGCTAAATATTCTGAAGAATGTTGGGATGTTATAAAGCATGTCATTGAAATCCATAGTAGAAACCAAAATATACTATTGAATATAATATATAGGGGTGTAACATGAAGGGGCGTAAATTGTAGAACCTCAGAGGCATAACTTGAAATTTTAGAGAGCCATATTTCAAAACTAACTAACCCAACCATCATAGTTAATAATGTCTACACCTTACTCAACCCTTAACCTAACTATTAAAGTTATTAACATCTACACCTTCCCCAACCCTAAAGCCAACCATCACAGTCTTACAGCGGTAAGTAGGGAAGGTTTTTTATACTTTACAAGCTCCCCATTGTACAGTTATTTGCAACCATAGGTGGCAAACTGTCATGATATTACAGAGGAAGAAGGCAGCGAGTTGCGTGGTGGAGTTCCCCAACGTTTTTCAGTACATCACCATTTAAAACGCAGGTTTGAAACAAGTCGAATAAATTATGACAGATTTTTCACTTTGGATGAACTATCCCTCTAAGAAGTCAAGTTTCTTTGATGATAACCAGTACAATTACCTTTCTGGAACAAGGAGCACCAGAAGGTTAAACCTGTACAAACATGTAAACAAATGTGTGAATACACTCAAGGGAGGTCTTACTTCTGGAGAACTCATCCTGGGCTGCCACAGTCCCCTCCATGATTTTAGGTTTGATGAGTCGCGTACAGAGTCCATCTGCATCTTTAGTGTAGTGCTGTTGAAAAACAAACACACACAAGCCGACCAAAAGTAAGCTCATTTACCAAAAAAAAAAAAAAAAACTAGCATGACAGTAATGGAAATTAAAAGAAAACCATCAAATGTTTATGAAAGGGTATTAACATGCTAGAATAAACTTAAACAAATGACCAATTTACTGAATAATGCAACTCGATATGCAAATAAATGCAGGTTTTATGTAACTAGAGAAGGAAAACACACCTTGAATGTGCAGTTTGAATGAATAAAATGAATAAATAAGATAGTCTCCAGCAGAGGTCGCTGTTGTTTACATATAAACCACCGAATCCTGCGTTTCGCCTCCTCACAATAGACAAGTCCACACAGGCGAGGACATTCTTATCATTTCAGTGATGAAAAACGTGTTTTTGATTTCATGTCTGGACGCTAGAAGCGTGAGGTCAGACGATGTGATAATATTGTAGGACGATTGTAATGCATCGATTATGCTGTTGAAATGATCTGGAACCTGTGCCCGTTTCCTCTTTGTCACTTCCTCGTTATCAACTGTTCCAGGAACTGGAGTGCGTGTGTCTGTGTGCGAGTGCGCCGATATTACATGCGCGCTCAAAATAACAACACATTTGCATGAGTACAGTCACACAAACACTTCAGTAATTCTGCAACGCACTGATACTTTCAAATACAAAAGGTTCTCACTGTAACACCATCTTTTTCAGCCATTTACTTTCATACATGAGAAATAGCACAGATTTGATGTTAATAATTTTGTTATGTGATTCATTCCTGAGATGGTAAAGCTGAAATTATTCCATTTCATCACATAATCTTTCATTTATAAAGATATGCTGATCTAATGCTTAAGAAGCATTTCTTATTAGTAATATCACATTCAACTAAAATAAAAATTACCCTAAAAGCAAAATAAAACTAATGTCATAACATGCTATTATATGAAATTGACAGCTAAAATATAAAAACAAATCTATTGTATACAGGGTCCACTGGTCTGATCGGGCCAGTGGTTCAGATTTCTACTTGCCCTGCCAAAATTTTCACTTGCCCCACCAACAAAAGAAAGGGAAGTTAATAACTATTTTTTTAGATACATATTTTAAATAATGTGTCAAAAATAAAGTCTGTGAATCTAGAATTTTAAGACTTTAAAAAAATTGTAAATAAAAGTGTTTTGCAAACAGAAAAGAAAAGTATGGAAAATGTGGAGGTATTTTATTGCGGTTTGAAATTATTTAACAAAGGGTGGCTGACTTGTCAAACTGACGGCAAAAAACAAACAAACAAACAAAAAAACATCTGTAATATACAGTGCTCTGCTTAATTGAGTAAATCCCATTTTTTTAAAAATTAATATTTTTATCTATTTCTCAGTGAATATAGGCAATGTGTGTTTGTGATTCAGATTTATTAAACAGATATATTTATTAAAATAATAATAAATTATTTTTGATTTGAGGGCGAATTGCCCTCAAATCAAAATCTCGATTAAATGAACATTTCAACTTGATTACGATTAATAAACGATTATTTTATTTTTTTGACCTCACGATTCACTAACAGGTTTTGTACAGTAAATATGCTCACATATCACAAGTGAGAGATTTTTACAATACAATTTTTACTTAATTTAAAAATAATTGAAGGAAACACACACTATCTACGATTATTTATTAAACATCTTTGAACAACTAAAATGAAAACACACATTGCCTGAAATCGACAGTCCCTTTATTCTTAAAAAAATGGGAAAACAAATAACTTTTGAAAACAAAACTAATTATGTTCAACGTTTTCAAAAGTAGAAAATATAATTTTCAATGTAAATAATTTTATTGTAATAGAAAATATGCCATCTCAAAGCATATCTGGCACAGCTTCCATTCATCGTCAATGTAATGCAAATGTGCAATGTGTAGTTTTTTTTTCGCGACCACGCAAAGGCTGCGCCGGAACATAACCATGCGTTTGATGCAGGTGTATAAAACAGCTTTAACAGAGCGGCTCATGTGACTTCACACATGGAAGGGAATGTAATTGAAAAAAATTGACCTGCAAAAATTAGATTGATTACAGGTTCTGAATGTCGATTTTGATTAATCATCCTGAATAAAATACTTTTATAACATCATATACATCTTTACAGTCACTACCAATAATTTTAGTTCATTCTTGCAGAGTAAAAGTATTTCTTTTATCATTTATTTTAGAAAAAAAAAATAATAAATGTGCAATGATAAACACTAATCAAATGACAGCTGAAAATATCAATTTGGGGATTTTATTTAATTTATCTCGAGCAGTTTTCCAATGAATTTTATCAAGCGGAATGTGGGAAGAATATCTTCTGTGGCAATGTAATCACTCTGAACATAAAGACTTATTGTAGCCCTGTCCACTTCTCAGGAAAGAGCACAACTGTTCAGTTGAGTATATAAGGGTGGGAGAAAGAGAGAGCGACTGTAGCCAAAATTACACTGAAGAATGTGTGGAATTCCGTAATAGAAAGGGTGAGGAGAGACTTGAGGAACCCATAGTGCCTCTAAAGTGACCACTAAAACTGTCCAGACCCCAATCTAGGAGAACTAGAGCACATCCGTTATCAACACTTAACCGAGAACGCATCACTGGTTAATCACACTGAGCGGCCCTTATAAAGCCAATAGACAGCTGAATAAAAATAAAAAGATATGTAAAACTATACAAAGTACAGCCATTTACATCTCGCATCTATGTAAATCAGCCCATTTTAAGCCTGCCTTTTGATTAGCGGTGCTCACTGTGCTTTGTGTTACAGCCTTGAATGTTTGTGAAGTGCTATAAGTATCACTTTTTTAAGGCTTTTTAAGGTGATCATGTAATAGCCATAATAGATTCCTTTAATTTAAATGAAAAGAAGGACTCAAGCCACTTTCCAACACTCTGATCTTAACAGCAGCTTTGTAAACAAGAATAAACAGCTTCTACTTTTGCTGAGAGGGTGTGTTATTTAAAGACAAGCATGCATCATTTAAATGTATTTTAAGAAAAGGGAAATCTCAATATTATGAAATACAGCGGTGTTTTATAAAGCAGAACTTTATGGTGTAAAGAAACTCAAATATGCTGATCTCCTTGTAAAGGTCCTGTTCCTAAAATATAAATATAGGGTGCTTTCACACCTGCCTTATTTAGTTGGATTGAATCGCACTAGAGTTTGTTTCCTCTTTTGGTACAGTTTGTTTGGGCAGGTGAGAATGCAGCAATTGTACTCGAGTGCGCACCAAAAGCGGACCAAATAAGCGTACCGAGACCTGCTTGAAGAGGTGGTCTCGGTAACGGACCCTGGAGCGGTTCGTTTGTGGTGAGAATATGATCCGTACTAAAACAGGTCCAACCGCAAAAAGTACTGCACGTTTTGGACTAATTCAGCTGCTGTAGGCCGATGCGCTGTGCATTATGGGTTATGGAGGAAAAATATTTGTTGACAGCGCTTTACCAACAGAGAGAGGGGAAAACATTACCTAATGGATCGTTGGTAATATTTCCGCAAGATGAGCATGTCGCAGTTTAGCTAAATTAATTCACGGCTCCTCCTGAAGTGACGAGTGATGCATTAAACATTGTTTTCCAGCCACGGCCGCGCTTCATTTTCGTAATGTAGTTTGTCTAAAGCAGAGATACAATCTGCCAGCGCAGTCGTCCCTCCAGAGTAAAAGGTTTTGTTTACCTGCGGGAGTTCACTGGCATTTTCCCGCATGTGAATTCTGACCAATCAATAAGCAGTTTAGGAAGTATGTTTAACAACATCTGGCCAATAAGAGATGTGGATTTTGTCAGGTGACTGCATTGTCGTTCGTTTCAACTGGTTCGGACCAAAGCCAGCAGTGTGGTGTGAAAACGACCCAAAGACGGCAGAAAATGCAACAATGTATCATTTATTGCCCTTGGTCCGGACCAAATGAAGCGAACTACAGATGTGAAAGCACCCATAGCTATATATACCTTTTCAGTTACAAAAACCCAGTGTTACTATGAAAAAAGCTAAACAAAAATGAACAAATAATTGCCAAAAATTTTCTAAAAAATGAAGGCATGCTCCAATTGATTGGACTGAGATTGAATTAACCGATATTCGCATTTTATGAATTGATCAGTATTTTATCACTTCAATCTCACAAAAGTATTGCAGATTGTTTACAAGTTTAAAAGCAGAGAAATACGCACAAGAATTACAGTGGTGTGAAAAAGCATTTGTTTTTTTAACTGACTTTTTTTTTTGCAGGTTTGTCACACTTTATAATTTCAGATCATCTTGAATTAAAATTAGTCAAAGATTATACGTAAACACATCATGCAGTTTTGAAATACATTTTTTATTATTAAGGGAAAACTAAATCCCAAACTAAATAACCCTTTGTGAAAGTGTTTGCTGAAGGACAATGATCCAAAGCCCACAAGTAAGTCCAAAACAAAATGAAGACTTTGGAGTGGCCTAGTCAAAGTCCTGACCTGAAACAATTTTGAGCTTTTGTTAGCTCATTCCATCTTCTGGGTTGACCCTATGTTGATGACTGGGTGAGATCTCGTCCACGGACCCACAGCACGCAGTATTTAGCCGTTTATGAAGGGTTGTAAGGGTTTGTTTCCATGATCCACGGGGTTAGTTGCATTTTTTCCCCACAATCCTGTCAGGGCCGATACAGCAAAGCTGTTTGTGTGCAGCAAGCATTTTTTTGGGGAGAGCTGTACAAGAATTGGGGAATGGCAGACTGGGTCCTTTACCAGTGGAGTTTGTTCACATTTAGACACATTGCCGTGCAGCTGTGTTTGCCTAAATCCTACAGATTACCATAAGGGCTAATGGTTGAAACCGAAAGTGGGGTGTGTCATGGCCCTTTAAAAACACTTGATTTTAGTTATTATTTACTAAACCTTTTTCCACAAATGCCTATTTTACATTTAATTTTCCCTTAGTAATAAAAACCTTTATTTCAAAACTGAATGTGTTTACTTGTG